CACTGTGGTCAGAAAAGATACACGGTATGATTTCATTTTTTTAATTGGATGAGACTTGCTTTATTGGCAGGCATATGGTCTATCCTAGAGAAAGTTCTGTGCACTGATAAAAAAGAATGTGTTTTCTGCAACTGTGGGATGAAATGTTCTGTAGGGATCAATTAGGTCCATTGGATCCATAGTGTAGATTAGCTCTGTTGTTTCTTTGTTGATTTTATGTTTAGTTGGTCTGTTCATTGAGTAGAGTGGGGTGTTGAAGTTCCCCATTATTGTTATTATGGAGTCTATGTCTCCCTTTACATCCACTAATATTTGTTTTAAATAGCCAGGTGCCCTGGCATTGAGTCCACATACGTTTATTATAGTCATATTTTCCTGTTGACTTGATCCCTCCTTAATCATTGCATAATGCCCTTCTTCATCTCTCTCAACAGTTTTTGTGTTCAAGTCTATCTTGTCTGCTATTAGGATGGCTACACCTACTCGTTTTTGTTTTCCAATAGCATGGAGTATCTTTTCCCACCCTTTCAATTTCAGTCTGTGTGTTTCTTTGTTGTTGAGATGTGTTTCTTGTAGGGAGCAAATAGATGGGGTTTTTTATGCATTCAGCCAGTTTGTATCTTTTTTAAGATTTATTTTATTTATTTGAAAGAGCTACAGAGAGAGGTAGAGACAGAGAGAGAGGTCTTCCATCTGCTGGTTCACTCCCCAGATGGCTGCAACTGCCGGAGCTGTGCCTATCCAAAGCCAGGAGCCAGGAGCTTCTTTCAGTCTCTCACATGGGTGCAGGGGCCCAAGGACTTGGGCCATCTTTCACTGCTTTCCCAGGCCATAGCAGAGAGCTGGATCAGAAGAGGAGCAGCCGGAACTAGAACTGGCTCCCATATGGGATGCCGGCACTTCAGGCCAGGGTTTTAACCTGCTGCGCCACAGCGGTGGCCCCCAGTCTGTATCTTTTAATTGGAGAATTTAGACCATTTACATTAGATTATTATTGATAAGTAATGACTTGGTCCTCCATTTTTCCATAAATATTCCTATTGTTTGCTTTGGCTTCTCTTTGTACTTTTACTAGCACATTTTCCACCTTCACATTCTTCCATAATAATGACTATTATTCTCTGTTTCTGTGTGTAGCACATCCTTCAGAATCATTTGAAAGGCTGGACAAGGGATAACGAATTCTTTCTATTTCTGCTTGTTTTGGAAGGTCTTTATTTCACCCCCATTTGTAAATGAGAACTTTGCAGGGTACAGTATTCTGGGTTAACAATTTCTTTTCTTTTAGGACTTGGACTATGCTACTCCATTCTCTCCTAGCCTGTAGGGTTTCTGATGAGATCAGCTGTTAGTCTAATTGGGTATCTTCTTAAGATAATCTGACATTTCTCTTGTGCACATTCTAGAATCTTTTCTTTATGTTTTACTGTTGAAAGTTTTCTTATAATGTGTCATGGTGAAGATCTTTTCTGGTCATGTTTATTAGGAGTGTTATGTGCTTTGTGTACTTGGATATCCCTTTCTTTTTCCAAATTAGGGACATATTCTATTATTTCACTGAATAGGCCTTCTAATTCATTCTCTCTTTTCACACCTTCAGGACCTCCTATGACATGTATGTTTGTTCATTTGATGATTTCCATAAATCTCTAACGCTATTTTCAGTTTTTCTCATTTTTTTCTTTTTTGTCTATTTCCAAGGATTTGTCTTCTAACTCAGATGTTCTTCAGTCTGCCTTACCAATTCTGTTGTTGAGCCTTTCCTATTTGACATATTGAATTCTTCATATCTAATATTTCAGTTTGAGTTGTCTTCAATATCTCTATCGCTTGGCAAAATTTTTCATTCATATCCTGAATGGGTTTGTTTATCTCATGAATTTGTTTCTCTGTGCTTCTGAGTAATCTCACAATCATTCTTTTGAATTCATTTTCAGGCATTTCATCAATCTCTTCATATTCACATTCTAATATTGAAATGTTGCTGTGTTCTTTGGGGGAGTCATCTTGTCTTCTTTGTTCTTGTTTCTTTTATTTCTGCATTTATTTTTAGTCATTTGTGGAAACACTTGTTGGTTTTCTCCTCTGATGGCTTTTATCTTTGAAGTATGCTTCTGTGGCTTAGTGGAATGTCTTCTACTTCCGTGGATATCCAGAGTGTATGCTAGGTGGGGCCAGGGAGCTCTGGTCAGTGCTCAACTGTGGGACAAGAATCCAGGGTGACACCCAAGTTGGGCATGGTAGGTCTCCTCTATTGTCAGCAAGGGGGTAGGTATGATTGTGTCTGTTGGCATATCACAGCCTCACCTCCACTCTCCCAAGGTGTCCAGTGCCTGGGTTATCCCACAGTGGCTACAACTCCCACCCACCCAGGCACATCAACTGCACAAAGGATCTGTGTGGTACTCAGTGTGAGCACACAACCCTTGGTAATGACCCACCTTAGGCAATGAGGGAGCTCTGAGCCTCTGAGGCCAGAAACAGTGACTGCCCAGAGACTGAGCTACACCCCATGCCCCATCATGCAGTCACAGAATTCCCACAGTCACAGAGCACAAGGCTCCCATAGTTACAGTGTGCATGGCATCCACTCTTAGCCCCAGGAGCCTTCCCTGCACATGGAGAGAGCAGAGGTGTTCCTAGAGCCAGCTGCCTGTGAGTGCTCCACCCTAGCAGTTTGATCCCCAGATCCTATGATAGAGTGTGGAGATGGGAGTGCCTCACAGTCCTAAGTGGGCGCCCAGGCCCCAGCCAACCCTCCAAACCAGACTCAAAGTCAGTGGAGAACACAGAATTTTCCCTCTGATAATATCCCCTAGTCACCCGTGCTACAGCCGCAGTAGCTTCTACTGACATCAACATAGCACTTTCTCTCTGCTGGTCACCAAGTGCCCTTGTTGGGGGCTGGGGAGAAAGAAATGTGCTTCTCGTTCACAAGGTTAGGTGTGCACCCTGCCCCTCACTAGGGCTCCAGGATAGACTTAAAGTCATCATAGTCCACAAGGTTCTCCCTCCAGCAATATCACTAGTGACAGGGGCTGCCGCGGTCTGCTCCCACCTCACATCTCCTCCAGCCCCCAGTCATGGGTGGTGTCCTGCTTGCTGCTGCGTGTTTGTACTGTCCACACTGCTCCATGGTGTCCCTCTTCTTTCTGTAGAATCTCCACTGCAAGCTTCTTTCCAATTCTTTCCTGGGAATGCACTTCTGTTATCTTCCCTCTGTCAAAATGAGTGTGTCTTCTTCCTATTCAGCCATCTTAGAATCACCAAGACTCTGACTTTTAGCAACATCATCACGTGTTTGGTGTACACATTCCAGTTTGGGAAGCACCAATTAAAAGTCTACACAGGGGCTGGCGCCGCGGCTCACTGAGCTAATCCTCCGTCTTGCGGCGCCAGCACACCGGATTCTAGTCCCGGTCAGGGCGCTGGATTCTGTCCCGGTTGCCCCTCTTTCAGGCCAGCTCTCTGCTGTGGCCAGGGAGTGCAGTGGAGGATGGCCCAAGTCCTTGGGCCCTGCACCCCATGGGAGACCAGGAGAAGCACCTGGCTCCTGCCTTCGGATCAGCGTGGTGCGCCGGCCGCAGCGCACCAGCCACGGCGGCCATTGGAGGGTGAACCAACGGCAAAGGAAGACCTTTCTCTCTGTCTCTCTCTCTCACTGTCCACTCTGTCTGTCAAAAAAATAAAAAAAAAAAGTCTACACAGGGACTAACATTGTGGTACAGTGGGTCAAGCCACCACCTCCAACAGTGGCATACGATACAAACACCAGTTCCCATCCCAGCTGCTCCACTTCTGAACCAGTTCTCTACTAATGTGCCTGGGAAAACAGAAGAGGATGGCCCAAGTGCTTGGGCCCCTGCACCCACGTGGGAGACCCTGATGGAGTTCCAGGCTCCTGGCTCCAGCCCCAGCTGTTGCAGCCATTTAGGAAGCGAACCAGCAGATTGAAGATCTCTCCCTCAATACTCTGTGTGTGTGTGTGTGTGTGTGTGTGTGTGTGTCTTTCTCTGTAACTTTACCTCTAAAATAAATTAAATTTGTTTAAAAAAGATGAGACAGAGAGAGGGACAGAGAGAGAAAAGTCTTCCATCTGCTGGTTCATTTCCCAAAAGGCCACAACAGCTGGAGCTAAGCCGATCCGAAGCCAGGAGCCAGGAGCCAGGAGCTTCCTTTGGGTTCCCATGTGGGTGCAGGGGCCAAGCATTTGGGCCATCTTCCACCGATTTCCCAGGCCATAAGCAGAAAGCCAGATCAGAAGAGGCGCAGCCAGAACACGAACTGGCACCCATATGGAATGCTAGCTGCAGGTGGAGGCTTAGCCCACTATACCACAGCACTGGCCACAGTAAATACATCTTTTGAAAGAAAATTTTAAAAAAAAATCTGTAGACTCTGAAACAAACTGTGGTCAATCTCTATACTGCAACTCCCCAGAAAATTGCCTCTGGGGAAATTCTGAGCCACTTTGTGCCTCAGTTTCCCTCTGTGCATTATCACCATCAAGAATATGTTGTGAGAATTCACACATACAGGACTTGAAACAATGTTTGCCATTATTGTCACAAGTCTTATGTTACTAACAATGCCTCTGAAATGAGCCATGTTTACCCTACTTCTCAGAAGAAGCAGAGGCCCAGAAAATTGGAGAGCTTATCTGAGATTGCAATTCCATCCCCTGAGGGTAAGGAAGGGTCCCAGGGTGCAAAAGAGAGGACACTGTCCAGGCTCTGCAGCCTTTTTGAGCCACATCCCTTAGATGCTCGGCAAGAAAATCTGTGCCCCACAGGGATCTCCCTGAATCTGGATTCCAAGCTACCCTTTAATTCCTTGAAATTTATCTTCCATTAAGTTGCATAGTGTTTTTACAACTTATCTTTCTACTTATAGATTGTAAATTTTCCCTCTGCTGAGTCTTATAGCCAACTATTTTTCATTACGTTCGTAGAGCTCAAGGAAAAAAAAAAGAGGCAATTCCTTTATTTGAGAATCCTGACATTTATTAGCATAATAAAACTCTCAAGATGAAATTGCAGTTTTCCAGACAGTAATTTCATTTGCAGGACAACTTACAAGGAATTTACTTGAAAGCCAGGTAAAACCTAAAATATATGAGACATGCAGAAAGTGCAGGCCCCAAATAAAATGAAATGAATGTGTTAGGGATGGAGAACTGAGCTGCTGGCCCTCACGTATTAATTAGTGGGTGACAGGAACAACAGCCCAGGGATTCAGGTTCTCAACGGACCTGGTCTGCTTTCAAAGCTGCTGCTTGAAATTCCTTCTGACACCCTGAAAATCATCACATCCGAGTCCCTGACAACGTTTTGCTGCATTTGTGGTTGTGGCTAGCAATTCCTTTCATTTGGACAGAGTTTTCATAATGCCGATTTAACTGGCCTGCCCCAAACCTAACCATGTCCATACAAAAAAATCCTCCTGTCGGTTGTACTGAGGTTTAGTGAGGGCAAACAACTTAAACAAAGCCACATAGTCGGTAAGTAGCAGAGCCAAGACTAAAGCTTGGTTCTTCTGAATCTCCAATAAAAATCAGGTTATTTTCATAACGATTGGGTATGGTTTTAAAACACTTTAAGTTTCAAGAAATAGGTACCCTCCATCTCTTCATTTTATCCATTCAGTGAGACAGGCAGACAGGAGGGAAGCCTCAGCCCTGACCTGCAAACTGATATTGTTGAACACATTTGTAGGAGGGGTCCTTCCCCTTGCTTCCCCAGAAGGCAGAGACCACAAAGCACAGTGCTACTTGATTGAGGACTGCAACCCTAGAGGAACAGGAAAGGGGCAGGATGGGTAGGCAGCAGGGAAGGAGAAAGAACAAACAGGGAAGTGTCATAGCAGTCCAGCCACTGCTGGGTTTCATCATAACTGGTTGCTCTGTCTTACAAGGCCCTCTTCTAAGAGGCCCTATGAAGAGCTGCCTCTCAGAACAGACCCTCCAGGAGGGAGAAAGGAGGTGAACTGACCAACCAGTCTCAGTCTCCCATTGATCTGAGGTCCACCATGCAGGGCACCAATTGGGAAAGAGATGCCCAGGGCACCATGTGTGGCTATGCTCACGTGACACTGAGCATTGCAGTGAGGAAGAGCAGAGCAAAACTGGTTATAGCAGTGGGAGCTGGGTGGATTATCAAGTCAGGCAAACCAGCTCCTTGATATCCTCAGAGTCCATCCATCCTTTTACTCTCACCAGGACAATGCTAGGAAATTCCAGGGTGGGGATTTGAACCCAAGTCTTCCAAAGCCTGTAATCTTCTTATCATAATATGCTGCCTCTGTGTGTATGGTATAAAGGTGGAACACAGGTGTGTGCACAGTCACCATCCTGAGAGTTATTGAGGAGTCCTTAGGAAAGTCATCTTGTTACTGTGAAGAACACAATCAGATGAAGTGGACAGTAGACTCAAAATCAAAAGGACAGTGAGGACAGAGTTGGTCACTGGAGTAACCTGCACAAAGAGAGCCACCTCCTAGACAGCAGAGGCCTCGTCAGACGTCTATAACCATTCTCGTATTTATAATTCACCCAGGTCTCGGACACATCCGTAGGAATATGTGAATCACTGCCTCACTATCACAAAACCAGGGCCAAGATATGATTCAAAGTTAGAGGAGGGGAGGAGAAGGGGTTAAATAAGGGAGGCAGAGCAGCATTAATCACGTGCCATAGATGCTGGGACTCAGAAGGCTGAATTCCAACATAGGTGATAATGAGCAGTATCGAGGTCCTCCACTTAAACCCTTTGCAAGTCTTTCTTTTGTTATCACTATGACTTTCTAAAAAGTGAGAAGCAGGAAATAACTTACTAGAAACCATCGTTGATTAGTGCTGAGAGACTTTCCGAAGTGCATTCATTCAACATACATTTTGTTACATGTAGGGTTCGGCACTGGAATTATTTTGGGGTTATTAAAATGTGACCAATGCACTCTAAGAACTCAGTTTAGGATAGCCTTGACAAATAGACTTGGTCACATGAGGTCATAGCTAAACTCTTGATGAAAGAGTTGCATCAGCTATTAGCAATGTCTGTCCTGACCACTGGGCGGGGATCAGTAGCACAAATGCCATATATTTCTTATCCTTTGAGATATAAAAAGCTGCTTGTTCCTCTGGAGGGTGGTGCATCTTCCAGAATAATAAGGAATCAAGCTGGTAAGTTCTTAAGTTCTTAAGCTGAGTTCAAAAAAAAAAAAAAAAAAGAAAAGGATGCCCAAAGGAATCCAATTGATAAAGTTAAAAAATCATTCAAACAACAGATGATAGTCTGGTGGGCTGTCCCTCTGTCCACAGGGTTCCTGCAGCAGCTCTCCCCCTGAAACAGTGATAATCTCCTCCTAAAACACAAAAGAAAGAAAACACCTACTTATAATCAAGAAATAGAAATAAGCACCCATCAGAGAGAGACAGGTTCAAGACAGAAAGACCAGGCATCTGCCTGGCCTTCACTGAAATTTCTATAAATGACAGGAAAAAATGTCTTTAAAAAGAAATACATCTGGGGCCAGCATTGTAGCATAGCAGGTAAAGCCGCCACCGCCTGCAGTGCCAACATCTGGTTCAAGACGCGGCTGCTCCACTTCCGATCCAGTTCTCTGCTACGGCCTGGGAAGGCAGTACAAGATGGCCCAACTGCTTGGGCCTCTGCACCAGCATGGGAGAGCTGGAGGAAGCTCCTGGCTCCTGGCTTTGTGTCGGCCCAGCTCCAGCTGTTGTGGCCATTTGGGGGGTGAGCCAGCAGATGGAAGACTTCTCTCTGCCTTTGCCTCTGCCTCTCTGTAACTCTTCCTTTCAAATAAATAAATCTTTTTTTAAAAAAAAGGAAAGAGGCCGGCACCGCGGCTCACTAGGCTAATCCTCCGCCTTGCGGCGCCAGCACACCGGGTTCTAGTCCCGGTCGGGGCGCCGGATTCTGTCCCGGTTGCCCCTCTTCCAGGCCAGCTCTCTGCTGTGGCCCGGGAGTGCAGTGGAGGATGGCCCAGGTGCTTGGGCCCTGCACCCCATGGGAAACCAGGAAAAGCACCTGGCTCCTGGCTCCTGCCATCGGATCAGCGCAGTGCGCCGGCCACAGCGCGCCGGCCATGGCGGCCATTGGAGGGCAAAGGAAGACCTTTCTCTCTGTCTCTCTCTCTCTCTCACTGTCCACTCTGCCTGTCAAAAAATTAAAAAAAAAAAAAAGGAAAGAAATATATCCATGAAAGTATAAAAAATTAAGAAGGCAAGCCATGGGCTAGCGTCATGGCTCACTTGGTTACTCCTCTGCCTGTGGCGCTGGCATCCCATATGGGCACCGGGTTCTAGTCCCGGTTGCTCCTCTTCCACTCCAGCTCTCTGCTGCGGCCCAGGAAGACAGTGGAGGATGGCCCAAGTGCTTGGGCCCCTGCACCCACATGGGAGACCAGGAGGAAGCACCTGGCTCCTGGCTTCAGATTGGCGCAGCACCGCCTATAGCGGCCATTACAGGAGTGAACCAACAGAAGGAAGACCTTTCTCTGTCTCTCTCTCTCACTGTCTATAACTCTACCTGTCAAATAAAAAAAGGCAGGCCATTAACAAATCAAAAATGTTGAAGAATCCTTGGGTAAAAAAAAAAAAGAGAGAGAGACAGGATGAGATTTTCAGAGGAGTCAATATGGGGCACAGGCTGGGGGCAGATTGGGGGCCTCCACAGATCAGAAAATGAGGAAAAGCACGCAGTCCCTGGGAAGTCAAAGAGACCAAAAAATTCAGACCCTTCCATGGCAAAAGATGAGCTCCTCACTTCCAACTCCAAATCCAACAGCATGGAGAGACTAGATTTGGGAAACAGAAAATGAATCCACCCAGTGTCAAACAGGAAATTTAAAACCGAGAGATCACTTCATAGCCCAAATTTATAAGCATTTAAGGAAAATCACAACCATAAAAGAAAGATGCTAAACTCAACAATAGGACTGACAATCTATTAACTCTACTACACAAACAAAAATAGCCTTTAAGAGGTGAGTATTAATCTCCTCCACGGAATAAGAAGAAAATTTGGGGCCGGTGTTGTGGCATAGCGGGTAAAGCCGCAGCCTGAAGTGCCGGCATCCCATACGGGTGCCAGTTCAAGTCCTGGCTGCTCCACTTCTGATCTAGCTCTCTGCTATGGCCTGGGAAAGCAATAGAAGTTGGCCCAATTCCTTGGGCCCCTGCACCCACGTGGGAGAACTGGAAGAAGCTCCTGGCTCCGGCTCAGCTCAGCTCCAGCTGTTGGTGCTATCTGGGGAGTGAACCAGTGATGAAAGACCTCTCTCTCTCTCTCTCTCTCTCTCTCTCTGCCTCTCCTTCTCTCTCTGTGTAACTCTTTCAAGTAAATAAATAAATCTTAAAAAAGAGAAGAAAAGTCACCCATGAAACAAGATTGGGCTATAATAATAATATAAAAGAACAAATGGAAATGCAAAGTACAGCCATGTAATTTAAAAATAGAAAGTGTAGTAGAAGTACTAAAAGCAGAGCAGAATAAAGAACAATGCAGCAACTCACAACAGGAAAGAGACATCTAAATAGGAAAATGGGCTCAGGGTATGAACAGAAGCTTCGTAGAAGAAACCCAAGTGGCCTGGAGTAAATGAAAAGTTCCTCAACAGGGCCAATATTGTGGTATAGCAGGTTAAGCTGCCACCTGCAGCGCCAGCATCCCATATGGGTTCCAGTTCAAATCCCGGCTACCCCACTTCTGATCCAGCACCCTGCTGATGTGCCTGGGAAAGCAGAGGAAAATGGCCCAGGTGCTTTGGCCCCTGTATGCACGTGGGAGACCTGGAAGAAGCTGCTGGCTCCTGGCTTTGGCCTGACTCAGCTCTGGCCATTGCAGCCTTTGGGGAGTGAACCAGAGAATGAAAATTTTCTCAATCTCTTTCTCTCTCTCTCTCTCTCTCTCTGTGTGTGTGTGTGTGTGTGTGTGTTGCATGTGTGTGTGTCCCTCTCTCTGTATAACTCTGCTTTCCAAATAAAATAAATAAAGCTTTTTTTAAAAAAAAAGTTTCTCAACTTCAGTGCTAATCAGATAAATGCAGACTAAACAACAGTGAGCTACAGTGTCTGTCCATCTGATGGAAAAAGAATTAAATGACGGGAGGAAACAGCCTCATAGAGTTTGGCAGAACACGAATTGTTGCCATGATTTCGGAGGGCAGTCTGGCAGATCTTTTCTGTTAAAATGTGCATCCTTCTCTCTCCAGCAATTCCAGTTCAAGGGACCCACCTGAAAGAGTACATAGGCATCCACAGTGATTTACATGGGGAAGTCTCTGCAGCAATTCGTGGTCATAAAAAATTGGAAGCCACATAAGTGGGCAGGAAGAAAGGGCAGACTGGAATATCCATCCATGCCATACATACTGGAGGGCACTTGCAAGATCAAAACATGTTGACATGGAAATACCCTGAAGACAGACAGGAGCAGCAAGCATGTCCTGCTGACCTATAACTGTTGGGTACACTTTTTGCTGCACTTTGTATAGCAATATCTCATTGCCACCTCACCATGACCCCAAGAAGTGAGCGCTACATTAAATCCATGTGGAAACTAAGGCATAAAAGCCTGTGAGTTGCCCACAGTGATGAAGCTGGGCTTTTACACTCAGTAGCATGATCCCGGGGACCATGTTTTTAAAAACCACATCCCATGATTTATTGACCATGTTAGAAAACCAAAGTTGCTGAGCCATACATAAAGACTGTACACAATTTATGGGAAAAATAACAGGACTAGATATTTCATTATGTGCACAGGTTTTGATGTTACTGCTTTGGAAACTCTTGAATAGGTACGTGCCAAACTAATAATTCAGGTGGAATCTGGGAATGAGGATTTGAAATGAATAAGACTTTCACTTTATATCATATTTAATTTTTCTCTGAATGTAATCATGAATTAACTGGGTAATTAAAATTTCAATTTATAAAAGCTAGCCACCAGATCACCACTTGGGCACAGAGAATCTCCCTCTGTAGTATTAGAAACAAAATTGTCAGTCCCAAAAGTTTAGATTTAGAAGAGAATAAAAACCTTCAAAGATATTGTGCCTGGCTTTTGGAGACAGGAACCTGTCCTGGGAGATATCCATTTACCCCTTGCCTGAAACACTTCCAGCCATAAGGAGCTCATCACTGCTAAAGCAGTGGACAGGGAAAGCAAACAATGTGGTTTAGTGGGAGAAATACACACTTTAGAGGGAGACAAACTGAGCTTCACTCCTGGTCCTGGCTGGTGCCAGCCAGAGAACTCAGCCAAACTTCCCAGCCCCCTGGCCTTGGTTTCCTGATCTGAGGCTTCCTGGGGCTAATATGCCTCACAGGCAGAGCCATCATGATGATTAAATGACAGCATGGATGGAGAGCAATAGGCTCAGTGCCGGACACAGAGAGGGGGCCGACCTCCACTCATCCCCTCCCTTCCTTTTCCTTCTGGTTGTTGGGAGCAGCCTTCTGACACAGGCACTTATCTGCCTTGATCCTGGTTAATCCACTTTCCAGGCAGTTTGCTGTATTCAGTGTCCAGGTGCTCTGCATGTGTGATTTTTCTGTGTGTTCTACTCGCAAGGTCAGGTTAAAAGCTGACATCCATGAAGAGACAAAGGCAAAGCAACACAAGTCCAAGGGCTCCTATTACAGCAACAGCACAGTGAACAGTCGAGCAATTCTGTGGACCTTTCCGTGCCTGTGTGGTTTGGGCAGAGGCTGGAGCCCTGAGCTACCTCTGCTCTGTCTCTTGGAATGCCTCAGCCCACCCTTCTGGGTCAGCTCCACCTCTGGCTTTCTCCCAGTTACAGTAGCTGCCAACAGCCACGTTAAAACAGAAGTTTCTTCTTTTTACACACAAGGTTGGTAAAACAACATCTGTCCCAGTGTGGGGTCCAAGGCAGCGTGACAAAGAACAAAAACAGCCAGGACATGAGAACTTCTATATGCATGATCTCATGTAACACAAGCTTTTTACACCCATGTGCCTGAGGCTATGGCTCCAATGAGTCCCCCAAGCATGAGCTGGAAAATTCATTGCCGGTGTCCGAGTATGAAGAGGGGAATCCTTTAAGAGATGGTTAGGCCATGAGGGCTGCACCCTCATAAATGGATTCATGCTTTTATCATTGGAGTGTATTCCCTATAAGAGGACAGGTTTGGTCTCTCTTGCTCTCTTTCTCTCTCACCATCTCTTGCCCTTCTGCCTTTTGCCATGCAGTGACACAGCAAGAAGGCCCTCACTAGACGCCAGCCCCTTGGTCTTAGACTTCATGATAAATTTCCCAGGCTGTGGTATTCTGTTATAACCACATGCAAAGGACTAAGACACCTGGTTAGGACACTGAAGCTCAGCGAGATTGATAATAACCTGCTCAAAGTCCCATCCATAGCGAGGGGTAAAGCTGGAGTTCAAGCAAGACAGGTGTAACTCTCCTGCTAGAAAAGCTTCTCTAACCACAGGGTTTCCTGGTACACCTGAGCTAACACTTGGAAGCTGCCAGAAGCCTGACTAGAATGACCTCAAGAGGGTTCTTCCTAGGAGCGAGACATGGGCTCAGAGAGAGGACCAATCAGACAGTCCCTAAGCACTGACAGTAGGCAGTACTCAGGTACTCAAGGTGAGAAGAGACCTAGGAGCAGGGCCACAGTGCACCAAGTGAGTCACTGGATGAGCCACAGCCTGCTCTCTCCCACCGCATGGCTCAGAGCCTGCCACCTGCACTTGCTCTGGCTCTCCCTTCAGCTCAAGTACCCTCCAGTTTTGGGATACCTTGTGGAAATCAATGAGATCCGTGAGCGTCGCGTGGCGGTTAGGGTCCACTCCCAGGAAGCTGTAGAAATCCCCAGAGGCGTCCACAAGGAAGTGCTTGAACCCTTTCTGCAGGCGGTAGGAGAGGGTGTAACCCCAGATCTTCTCACTGACCCTGACCAGAAAAGCTCCCTCGGCCATGCTCTCCAGGAGATCTTCCGCATCTTCACGGCTGATAATTCCTGATTTACAGAAGAAAACTTAAAAAGTCAACAGCTTCTGCACTGCCTTCTCCTCCCTCCTGCACTCACCCCTGCCCCGAGCCCTGTGGCTCAGTCCACATGCTGTCCCTGGGTCCAGGGGGATCAGAAGGGGGCTAGCCAGCACTCGCCTCATTCCATGGAGGACATATCTTGGCCTAGAGCACCAGCTAGGAGCCTGGGGACAGAGCTTGCTTCTACCAGGACCTGAGTTGAGCACGCTTTCCTCCAAATTAAGCCACATTAATTTGGATTAATTGGGTAAGCAAGGAATTACTAATGAGCTGGAATTATAGCCTCTATCGATTATAAATGCAAGGCAATGGACCCTGCCCTGTCGACAGCCTTAAGAGCCCTGCCTTAATGGGTAGCCCACAATGACTGATGATGAATGCCTAATATCTCTGGGAATATGTAAGTGAGCCCCTGAGAACAGTCTATTCCCATAAGAAGTAAAGACCTCCTTCGAATATCTGTGGACACCAAGCAAAAGGTTTCTTAATGGGGGCGCAGCACTAAGCTGCACGTTGGCCCAAGCAATCAAACTTTCTAAGGTGCTGCAACCCCAGGCAACATGGCTTCAACACAGTATGGAAGTCAGGTGTGGCCTTAGAGTCACTAATGCGTTGGTGGCCAGCCACCCCCTGAACTGCTTTCAGAGAGCCGCTCTCATCCAGCTGATGTAAGAGAGGGAATGGGCTTGGTGGATCAGGCTCTGGAGGGTAGAGAGGTGGATGGAAGAGGACGGTTGGAAGAGCTGGATTGGGGCCAGCACTTGATGCAGCTGTTAAGACGCTACTTGGGATGCCTGCATGCCATATGGGAGTGCCTGTGTTTCAGTCTTGGCTTCACTCCCGGTTCCAGCAACCTACTTCCTGCTAATGCACACCCTGGGAAGCAGCAGATGATGACTCAAGTACTTGGGTTCCTGCCACCTCTGTGAGAGACCCAGATGGAGTTCCTGGTTTCAGGATGGCCCAGCCCCATCTATTGCAGGCATTTGGGAATAACCAGCAGATGGTATATCTTTCTGTGTCTGTTTATCACCCCTTCCATCAATCCCTCACTTTCAAATAAATAAATAAATAAATCCTTGTTAAAGAAAGAGCTGGATTAACTCCCAAACTCTGCCCTGATCTGGCTATGGAGACCTCAGCCAAGCCCTCAATTTTGCCAATGTCAGCTGACATGTAAATGATCATGATTCATCTACTTCAATGAGACATCACGACTATCAAGCCAGATAAAGAATTCAAAATCATTTTATACACTGAGAATAGTTGTGGAAATGTTGTCATCTGTTATCCTGGGAGAGAGGTGAATGGCACCACGTGGCCTCCTTGCACAGCCACCTGTTTTGTTTATCCTTTACCCATTGTCAAGGCCTATTCACCATCAGTGACAGGCAGAGCAGTAGGAGGAGCAGGGCTGTTCATCTCCATGACCATGAGAGACAACACACACCTGCGCCTCCACCCCAGCTTGCCTGCAGTCAGACCCCTTCCACTGCTCTCCTCACTAACACGATGCATGCCACATGGGACTTTCCTTGTGCCCAAAGCAGGGGCACAGAGGCCACCACACTGTCAAATGCCACACCTTTTAGACAAAGTCAGCATGCATGGGGCCACCAATTTCCTCCTTACTCAGGACTTAAACCAAAAAGCAACTGAGTCAGCTACCTCCTCCTCAGTCAGGAAAAAAAAGAGAAAGGGCTCCAAAGACTACCCACGCTCCTGCGTGCAAGGCAGGGTGGGGTGCACCTGGTGCCATTGGTGGTTTCAGCTGCAGCAGCAGTGACAGCAAAAGAGGAGTGAAGGCAATTTCCAGGATTCAAAGACTTGCTGCCTCCCTGGCCCCACATCAGAGAACCCACATCCCAAAAGCAGCTGCAGTAGGGAGGTAAATAAGGGGAAACGGCATGGCTGAGGGATCTGGGGAAGACGGATCAGAAGATGTCACCACCATGCCCACTCCAAGAACCTACAGGTGATGCCCAGCCTGGACTGGAGCTTAGAAAGCAGGGAGGTGTTACATAAGGCAGAAGACTTCATCAAATTTGAATAGTGTTCGACTTCATAACACCCCAAAATCAGTAACAGCAAAATGACCACATTATGGCTCCCTTCATCTAAACCCCTGAACAGCTCCCTGCTGACTTAGAGCAGAGCCAGGCACAGGAACAACGGCGATGGGCATCCGTGCCCCTGACCACCTCCCTGTCCAGGCTTCCTGCTTGCTTTCCTTGGGCGGAAGCTTTACCCTCATTCCTAGCCCCATTTGCCCTAGCTGACTTTAAGCCCTCACTGAAGGCCCCACTCCTCTTCCATCCCAGAATCTCAGACTGCTGGTCTTCACCCCAACCTTGTGCAAGTCAGAAATAGATGACCCTGGGGTGGTTGAATTAGAAAAAGAGGCCTGGGACAGGCATTGTGCTGCAGCAGGCTAAACCACTGCCTTGACATTGGCATCCCACATGGGAGTGCCAATCAGAGTCCTGGCTGTTCCACCTCCCACCCAGCTCCCTCCTAATGTGCCTGGGGAGGCAGCAGAAGATGGTCCAAGTACTTGGGCCCCTGCCACTCAGATAGAGGACCCAGATAGAGGTCTAGGCTCCTGGCTTCAGCCTGCTCCAGACCTTGCAGCCATTTGTGGAGTAAAACAGCAGTTGGAAGGTCTCTCTCTCTCTCTCTCTCTCTCTCTCTGTGTGTGTGTGTGTGTGTGGCTTGCATTGGGTTCACTGAGAATCCCACACATGGGTTAGCATTGGAGGCCACCTTGTGCAGGTGGCAATGGTGATGGTCCCACCAGCTTTTGTTGCCCCCTACAACCCAATCTTCTCAACACGAGCTGCTGGGGGAGACCTCCTTCAGAGGTACCCCAGCCTGGGTCCCTGGGGCCCAATCCATGCCACTCCAGGAGACATCTGGGTTGACTCGGATATAAGTGCCCATGAATTCTGCACTCTCTTCCATACTTACCCAGAAATCAATAAGATAATCTGGCACAAGACCACAACTAATGCAGCCTCATAGTACAGGATGCAAAGAGCATTTCCCAGAAGACCCAACCCCCAAGGGAAAAGGTACAGGAAGCATGCAGGAAGAAGCTGTCCTGCCTCCCAACACCATGTACTTTACCTTCTCCCTTTCTCTCTCCCTGGACTGCCTTTCAGGCAATGGTAGAGTGGTTGGGGAACAAGAATTAATCATCCTCCATTCACCTCACCTCTGCCTCCTAAACAGTCTACACCCTCTGGGGAGGGGCGATCTCCTCACCCTTCCAGTTGGGGAGCAAATACACTGTCAGGGCCATTGCCACTTTCTGACTCCACTAATGATCAGGGATGGCAGAAGGAAAACACGGTTTTCCTGTAGTCACCAAGAACATTTTGGGTCCCTCCTTTCTGCTATTGTTCTTTCCTCCCTTTGCTAAATATTTATGAAGCACTATGGAGGAACCAGGCCTCTTGCTGGGCCCCAGGAGTCAGCAATGAATGAAACACAGTTCCTGCCTTTCAGGAGCTCTGACTCTGGACAGAAATAAAGACTGGCAGACAATGCATTCTTAATAGAATAAAATAGGGGCTGACGCTGTGGCACAGCAGGTTAAGCCGCCACTTGTAACGCTCACATGCCATGTCAGAGCACCAGTTCGAGTCCCGGCTGCTCTACCTCCAATCCAGCTCCTTGGTAATGCACCAGGAAAAGCAGCAGAGGAGGGCCGAACTACAAGGACCCCTGCCACCCACAAGGGAGACCCTGAGGGAGTTTCAGGCTCCTGGCTTCAACCTGGACCAGCCCCAGCCTTTTAAGGAATGAACCAGTAGATAAAAGGTCTCTTTCTCTCTTTTCTTACCCTTGTTCTTTCTCTCTCTCTCTCTCTTTCTCTCCACCCCCCCCCCCACTGCCTTTCAAATAAATAGATAAACAAATCTTTTTAAAAAATAAAGTGGGCTAACTGTAAGCAGTGAGAATAAAGGCCGTGTGAGTTTGGGCTTGGGTACTGTGGGAGCACCCAGGACAGACAGCTCACCCAGCTCTGCAGCCCAGGGGTGAAAATGACAGTTATTATAATGAGACCAGAAAGGTTAGATTTAAGAGGCAAGACAAGGAGGGCAGCTGGTAAAAATAATTAGCATGTGGTCCTGGTGGCTTTGGGGAAGCTCACGTGGAAGTTGAGTGTGGCAAGATATGTAGGGGTCAGTGAGGGTCAAACCCCGAAACGATTCTCCATACCATGGGAAGGTTGCAGGACTCAATTCTGAGAGCAATGGGGAGCTGCCCAGCACATGCACACTCCCTGTCTCCATGCAATGCCCTGCACTGCCTCAGACGCTGCCAGCAAGAAGGCGTCACCTGATACAGACCCTCGACCTTGCACCTCCAGAGCCGTGACCCAAAATAAACCTCCTATCCAGTCTGCAGTATTATGATATTCACAACTGAATACAGGCACTGTAGGGCAATCTCTTTTTTAAAATTTACATATGAAATGACAATAATGGATCCTTTGAGGGTTTAGAAGACAGAATTACAATACTGAACATCTTAGCCATTTGGAGCAGTCTGTTAGGGGTTAACACTTCTGTTTGTTTAGGAAGAGAACAAAGATGTTTGTCACGTTTAGTGTGTGTTAAGTGTGCATGTTACATTATCTAAATTAACAAAAAATGTGGGTGTTGAGGGTGGTATAACCTGCAAATAATAAAGGTGGCAAAATGGAGTGAGAAAAAATTTTTTCAATAAAGAGTGAGAAAAGCAAATACCTGAAGAATAAGTGCACAGTGATTCCATTTCTATTAGGCTGAAAAGCTCGCAAAACTCAACAGTGCAGTGTTCAAGATATACAAGCAATAAATGAAGCAAAGAGATGATTCATCCAAGGGATCCTATGTGGGAAGGGAGAGGACTGTGGAAGGGAGAAGAACAAGGATGGCTGCTATTTCCACTGCTCAGGCTTCCTTTATGCATGGGTATACG